CGTGCTGTAACACTCTCGTTTGTATATGTTTGTATTACTGTTTCTGTTAATATATTTGTTTAACCCAATTCCTTTCTTTGTGTCTTTATTTCTGGCCCTAACAAGGCCACAACAAGTAACACTATATAGAAATAAAAATTATTTTTTTTATATATTAAGGCGGTTACTTCGTTAGACGACCGTATCAACAACCAACCACAAAAGGCATCATTTCCTGTGTGACAGTCTACACAAAGAATTGATGCGAGCATATGACCAAAGTTGGAAATGTTGTTGACTCTTTTCAAAGTTATACATAATTCTTCTTTATTCCTCTCACTTTCATACTCTCTTTTCATCTTCAGTCTTTCCTTCTCTCTTTTACTTTTTCTTTCTTTTTTACTTAGACGATTTATCACATATTAATGCGATCTGATTGGCTGTGTACTTAAAATTCAGAATAAGTTTCACAAATATTCTCATGCTCTAAATCTGATTAATATCAAGTTATCATAATTAAATTTGATTATTTTCAGCGAATGTAGCTGAAAGACTGCACAGTACAAATATAATACATCGCCTTTATTTTGAAAATAACTATTGATGACTAATAAACGAAATGAATTGGTCTTTCTTTTATATCAAACCAATTATTCTTGAGCGACTCATGATAGAATATGTCCGTACATTAGTAAAATATTAAGTTGTCCAAAAATGTACGGTTGTCAAATAATTTATGAGCACTCCTTTTGTTATTAAATAACGAAGATGTGATACCGACATCCGTAAGGGCATTGAACTAGCGAAAAATGTCTTTCAGAAGCTAAACAATGTAATTAAAAAAAAAGAAAATTTTATTTCGGTTCAAATTTATATTTTTTATTAAATATTTTTCCCCCTTGCAAATAAATTTTTTTAAATGCATAAATGTAATCGTACAACACCCTACCCGGTCGTCGAAGACTTCCAACATCGCTGAAGGGACTGCTTCAATCCAGAGCTAAACTTACCCCACGTTGTGATTTTTAGATCCTAAGGCAGCCAAAATCGAATCGTCTCAGGTATCTTCATGTTGGCCTGGTTCAAGCAGGCCGATGACGTACAGAGATAAAAAATGACACTCGAATAAATTGAACAAAAGCAAATACTGTTTTTATATCAGTCTCCATACAATAATTGGTTTATATCGAAGTTTGCATGCGATTAATAATCATCCCAGCCCGCATCTAAATCGGAAGTGATACTATCGTCGACCTGGCAAAAATCTCGTTTGCTCTTGTTGGTAAAGTTTGGCACAAGGCTGAAGTTGGAGGCTTCTTTTCGGGAGATAATTACGTGGGTCTCTCTTCTGCTCCTACTTTTCTCTATTCTACACGTATTTATTGATATAATTTTATACATACATAATAATTCTATTCATATTTATTAGCATAATTTTATACATATATAAAAATTCTATTCGTATTTATTGACATAATTTTATACATGCATAATAATACTATTCGTATTTCTTAGCATAATTTTATATATATATAATAATACTATTCATATTTGTTGGCATAATTTTATACCTACATTAAAATACTATTCGTATTTATTAGCATAATTTTATACATGCATAATAATTTATTCATATATATTGACATAATTTTATACAAACATAATATTACTATTCGTATTTATTGACACAATTTTATACATACATAATAATACTATTAATACTTTTAATCTTAAAAGATAGAGGTGTGTATTATACATGTGTAATCGTGCAACACCAGCCGGTCGTCCAAGTCTTCCAACACAGCAGTTGGTCACTGAAGTGACTGCTTCAATCCAGAGCTAACCTTATCCCATGTTGTGATTTTTAGAGGCAAAATCTGGTTTGCTGTTGTTGGTATAGTTTGGCACAAGACGGCAAATAACAACGTGGGCCTCTTTCCTGCCTCTGGTCTCGTCTCCGTCTCTTCTGCTTTCCTTCTCTCTTCTGCGACTCATTTGCCGAATTCGATTCGCGCAGTCGTATTTATTGGCATTCGCCCAAACTGGCGAAGTAAGAGAATTCGATAATTCTGAGAAATTCCCTTCTTCCACTCTCTCATTTTAATTTTTTACTTAAATATTTGTATCTATAAAAAATAACGTATAAACAAAAAATATATTAAAATAATTGTCGGACTTAGTTCATTTCAAAATATATGACGTCATTTGTTTAGGTTAAGATACGGTTCCAGCACATATGAGCTTTCGAGAGAAAGTATGGAAAATTTGTAGTTTAAAAGCAGTTTGGAGTTAAATGGTATAGCACATCAGGCTATATGATGGTTACAATACGAACTATAACTGTCAATGGACACATTTTTCTATGAAATTTCTCGGACATTCAGGCCGGTAAATGTAGTTAATACTGTTTAATATAAACACAGCATTTACTTAAATATTTGTATCTATAAATATAACATATAAATATATTAAAATTTTTGACTATTGCAAATATTCATGAAAGAAGAATTGTTTGGAGAAATATATTTTCGGATATATTAATAAACAAATCTGCTTTCATGAACGTTTCCAATTGTCAGAAATTTAAAAAGACTTTGTCGGGATTATATATCCTATTTTTTAAACATAGAAAATATTCGTCCCCAGACAGGAATCGAACCTGTATCCTACACGGAACCTTCATACATCCCGACGTGCCTTTAACCGATTTGGCCACAGAGGAGCGTTCGGTTAGCAAGATCGATTTTACTGTCTTTAAACTACAATCATCTGTGGCCAAATCGGTTAAAGGCACGTCAGGCTATATGACGATTGCGTATAGGATACAAGTTTGATTCCTGTCGGAGGACGAATATTTTCTATGAAAATCTCTCGAACATTCAGGCCGGTAAATGGTATTTAATTCTGTTTATTATAAACAGCGCATTTACTTAAATATTTTTATCTATATAAAGAATGTATAAACATAAAAATGTCTTAAAATAATTGTCGGACTTTGTCCATTTCATAATTTATATATATATATATATATATATATATATATATATATATATATATATGTACTACCGATCAAAAGTTTGGGACCACCCTGAATTCTCACTCCAAGTTCATTACAAAAGGCTATTTTTACACAATTACGAATACACATTCCATGCGATACCTGCTGCGACATATTAGAAGTTTTACAAGCATGCATACATGTAGAATTATTTACAGATTGAATATACATGACTGTCCAATGTGAATCGACCGAAACAAAATTGAAGATTACCAAAGTTCTGTGTTCCCCCTCAATTTCTGTCAAAGCTTTAAAAAAGTGAAACATGTTAGATTGATAAACGTTTCTTTCGTATTTGTTCCTTATCTTATCCTGCCGGATTCTGATCCATATTTCTTCAGCATTAGATCTTTAATTCTCTCTCTCTCTCTCTCTCTTTCTCTCTCTGAGTATATATATATATATATATATATATATATATATATATATATATATATATATACGTGTGCGTGTGTGTGTGTGTGTGCGTTTGTGATTATGCCTTTATAAATGCACTAAAGAGAGATTGTCATCGAATCGAAAGACGTTTCAGACAGCAGAATAATTTTAATTTCATTTTCACTTGATGTTCCATTAGCAGGCATTGTTACGATTGTGCTCACCAGTCCACCCCCATCTCTGGTGGCGATTGTCAGCGAGCCGGTGACATTGTCAGTTAATAATCTGTTTAAATGCACTTCATCTTGGGGACCTTGACTTGAATGTAAAACAAGCGCTCGGCAAAGAATCAAATTAATTTCATTGACTTTAGAGACAAAATAAAATAAAGAAAAGGTGAAATTCTGAAAATAATGGTAATTAGAATTCTTAAGGAACGAACTAGGCTTCCATGTCAGTCAGATTGTTTATTCATTATTTTTTTTCTTTCTTTTTTTATAGAAATTGTTACTGGGGAGGAAGGGAAGAAAGGGAATGAAATGTATGTACGGAAGGATAAACGGAGCAAATATAGAATGGAGAAAAAAAAAGAAAGAAATATTAATTAAGACGAGAGATAAAAAAAGATAAAGAGAGAAAGAATATGGTGTGTAAAGAAATGAGAAGAAAAAGAAGGTATAAGAATGAAAACCAAAAAGAAAGAAAGAAAGAAAGAAAGAAGGAAAGAAAGAAAGAAAGAAAGAAAGAAAGAAAGAAAGAAAGAAAGAAAGAAAGAAAGAAAGAGTAATTAATACAAGAAGTAAAAATAAATAAAGAAGAAAAATTGGGTAAACAAGAAACGTACGAAGAAAAGAAAAAAAATGGAGGAAAATTTATCACCGAAGAAAGACAGCGATAAACAACCCAACAAAAAAGGGTTATTAAAATATGAAATAAAAAGAAAGAAAGAAAAAATAAAGGAAGGAAAGCGGTGGGAGGGAGCGAGGGGAGGAAGTAAGGAAAATTTACCTCAAAAGAAAGAAACAAATAAACAAGGAGTAATTAAGAAAAGCCTCAAAAGAAATAAATAAAGAAAAAGAATATCTGTAAGGAAGAAAATAATGAAGGGAAGTTGATCGCAATAAAAGAAAAAAAAAGAGAGCACATGATTAATGGAGGAAATAAATAAAGAAAAAAGAACGGAAGAGTAATTAAATGAAGCACCAAAAATAAAGAAAAACAGGATAAAGAAGGAAGGAAGGAAGGAAGGAAGGAAGAAAGGAAGGAAGAAAGGGGGGAGGAAAGGAAGGAAGGAAGGGAACGAAGGAAGGAAGGGAGAGAGGAAACGAAGGAAGGAAGGAAACGAAGGAAGGGAGGAAGGAAGGAAGGGAGGGAGGGAGGAAACGAAGGAAGGAAGGAAGAAAGAAAGAAAGGGGGGATTGAAGGAAGGAAAGAAGGGAGGATTGAAGGAAGGAAGGAAGAAAGAAAGGGAGGAAGGAAGGGAGAGAGAAAGCAAGCAAGGAAGGAAGGAAGAGAAATGTTACACAAGGAAAGAACGAAGATGCATGGTCATTGAGTTAAAGAAATGACGAAAGAAAACTAGTGTTTAGAATGAAGGAAATAAAGAATGTTCATCAAAATGTAAGAAAAACAAAAGAAAGAACGAGTAATTAAGACAAGCAGCAAAAAAGAAAGAAATAAGGAAAACCTTGAAGGAAGAAAAATAATTCATCACTTTAGGAAGAATGAAGGAAAGGAAGAAGAAAGAAAAAAGAAAGAATGAAAGCCATTTAGGCAGAATGAAAGAAAGAGAAAATGAAAGACAAGTAGAAAGAAAGAAAGAAAGAAAGAAAGAAAGAAAGAAAGAAAGAAAGAAAGAAAGAAAGAAAGAAAAGAAAAGAAAGAAAGAAAGAAAGGAAAAGAAAGAACAAAAATTATTAAAAAGAAATGAAGAAAAACTAAGTGAAGGAAGGAAGGAAGGAAGGAAGGAAGGAAGAGTAATGTGTCGCAAAGTAAAAGGAGCATGGGGAATGCGGAAAAGAAAGAAAGAAAGAAAATGTGTGATGAGGAAAACAAAGAAAAGAGTAGGAAAGAGTAATTACGGCAAGCCACAAAAAGAAACAAAGAAAAATATGATCTGGAAGGAAGGAATAAAGGAAGGAATGAAGGAAGGAATGAAAGAACGAAAGGAAATTATCACAAAAAACGAAAGAGCATGAGCAATGGGTGAAGGGATGAAAGAAAGAAAAAATAGGGTCTGGTCGGAAGGAAGGAAGGAAGGAAGGAAGGAAGGAGGAAGGAAATGTATCACAAATAAGAGCATGGACAATGGGAGTAAGAAAATGAAAGAAAAAAACAAAAATATTGTCTAAGAGAAAAGAAGGAAGGAATAAAGAAAGGTAAAAGTATCACAAATATCGAAAGACATGGGCAATGGCGGAAAGAAACAAAGAAAAAGGAAGAAAATAAAAATGGCGGATACAAGAAAGAAAATATGTAAGCTTTTGAAGATGATTAAAAACTATATAATACTACAACGACATGAACAAAAAGGAAAAAAAAAAACGTAAAAGAATGGAGAAGCATGAAATTCAAGAAAAAAGGGGCCTCCTGTAAGCAAAGCGAATCCAAACGAAAAGGTTAACATCACAATGTCAAGCAAGAAATCAATGTCAAGTCAGAAATCAAGATAGAAAACGAATGAAAATGACAGACGAGTAAAAAAAGGGAATGAAAACTCCCATCGCATCAGAAAAAAACCGTGAAAGCAGATAACAACAAAAGAAACCGCATGTAAGATAGCCATGAATAATGCCCTTTTGCTTTTAAGGCCAGTATTTTTTTTCCAGCATCGAGTCAGACAAGATGACATTATTCCCTTGCTTCCATAAATTATGAACTTCTCACTTCTTCAGAAAAATACAATCTGAGCTGACTCCAGACAAAATGGCGACGCCTTACATTGCCATCTTAGAAATGTTAGTACGACCTTTTATCCGCATTCATTCACTGATGGCATTGTGATTAAAGAAATAACTGCTGGTTCATTTATTTATTTATTTTTTTGTAGGTGCCTCCTATTGTCCAATATTTATCAAGTCCAAAATAAAAATAATCGCATATATACAAGGGTGAATCAAAAATTATCCACACTTTCGCAATAACATGAGTGCGGATATTTTTTTTATCCATAGTATATATATATATATAAAATTTTGTATATTATACAAGTTTCGTTAAACGCGATTGAGCTTTTTTTATTTCATTTTTCTTGTGTTTGTCCAAGTGTTTTTTCTTTGTTAGACAAAATCTGTCCAAATGTTCTGAATATCCAAGCGATTTCGGCTATTCTTTTAGCCATTTTTATTTCTTAACTGAATGTGTGGGTATTTTATGTATGTATTTACTATGGTAATTTACTCACGCACGCATGTACTCTCCCAGCTATAAATAGGAGCAGGTACTGCCTTTTGGAGAGGGAGGTTTCCAGCAATCAGCTTTGACAGTCGGACTGAACATTCTTGCTGTAACACTCTCGTTTGTATATGTTTGTATTACTGTTTCTGTTAACATATTTCTTTAACTGAATTACTCTCTTTGTGTCTTTACTTCTGGCCTTAACAAGGTCACAACAGTAACTGAAGTTATAGGAATGTTTTATTTTCTGAACACGGTCATTGCGTTGTGGCCGTGTTCGTTAGTTAATGTTATTGAGTGTTGCCATTTTCTTTATATTATTAGTTCTTTTATCTTTAAGTGTTTGCTTGCATGTGGATGAGGCTATAATACTTGTATTTTCTATTAGTATGTTGCGGATGGAGTTTGGTATGCTTCCGTGTGTGTTTAAATGAGTCCGAATTCAGCTATGGTCAAATAGCTGTAAGGTGAGTCGTCTAGATAGGCATGTAGCATTATGATCAATATAATTATTTATGAGTTTGGTTTGATCAGAACACAGTTAAAACGTTTAATCACAGTGCCTTGTCAGTCATCTTTAACGAAACAAATACACACACGCACACACACACATACACACACACACACGTAATATAGATTTTAAATTGTAAAGAGACTTTATGGACACACTGTATATATATATATATATATATATATATTCATATATATATATATATATATATATATATATATATATATTCATATATATATATATATATATATATATATATATATATATATATATATATATTGTTAAATATAGCACACAACTAATGTCTGATCATGAGCCGTTCTAAGCTTCGTATAAAGGCTTTAGTTTGAGAGAAAATAAACACAAAACTCCCCAACATTTGGATATTTTTTATTACGCGGTTCATCGATCTAAGCATTTGGCTCCCATGACCCATCATCAGAGTGATTATATGGACATTATATATATATATATATATATATATATATATATATATATATATATATATATATATACTAGCAGTATAACCTGTCTTTGACCAGGTCTTTCATTACTGGGAATTTTGCCATTCAATTGAAGCAGTTTAAGTCAGCCCACCTGAAAATCCTATTTAGTATACTGTTTGTCGTACTATATTTGCTGTGTGAAAATTTTTTTGACATTTATATGTTGGTATGACCTATGTATGTAATCATATTTATGTTTGTAAATAATTTTAAAAAATCATATTGAAGTCATTATTGTATTCTTTCTTTTTACCCTTGTGGAACACTTGAAATAATTTTCATGTATCAGGGAATGTTACCTCAGGCTTCTCGTCTACAGTCGCTCTCTACCAGACGTGCCGTCGCCTCCATCTGTCTTTTCTACGAATACTTTCACGGTAACTGCTCCGACAAGCTACTTTCGCTAGTTCCCAAACTGCATGAATTTAAGCGTGCTACTAGGCTGGAATCACAGTTCTACACTTTCTCTGTCGAAAAGGTTAAATGTAGTCGTCTCTTCTACTCCAATAGCTTCATGTCTCGCACCTCCCGTCTGTGGAACTCCCTTTCTCTTGCTTGCTTTTCTGAGAGCTATAATCTCCAAATATTCAAATGCAATATCAATCGACATATCCAGATGCCTTGATCTATTCTCCCACTTTCTCTTCATACTTTCCTCTATTCCCCCTCCTTACTCTTACTCCCACTTTCGAGTTTATTCATCTAGATCAACGTCTCTCATAATTTTTATCCTTGTGCCAGACTTGAAATAGTTTTCATGTCTTTGAGAACCTTTGTAGGAAAATGATTATATACCATTTTTAACATCTATATCTTTTTTTTTTCTTATATTAACCCAGGATTTAGCATAGGCTGTAAGGAAATTGAAATAGACCAGCGTTTCGCGGTCTTTCTACCCTTGTGGAATATATTTTTCAGATAACTGATTTACGGAATAAAATGACCCCCTTTTTATCAAATTTATTGTCTATTGCAAAAAAAAAAATCCAACAGCTTCTCTCGCACTTCCCGACAGTGAAACTATCTTCCTCTTACTTGCTTCCCTGAAAACTATAATCTTCAAAACTTTAAATGTAATTTCAGTAGACATCTTAGAATGCCTTGTCTTTCTCACTATCCTTTCCTCAAACACCCCCTCTTTACTCTTACTTTCACTCTCTGTAACCCCTTGCGTGCTAGTGGCACTCCCGCCTTGCTTGGTGTGAAATTCTTAAAGAAAATCACTCACTGGTGATAGCTCACACGAAAGATTTCAAAAAATAAATTCTATAAACATGTACAAAGAAATAAACATAAATAATCAGTATCAGTTAAGTGCCATGCGCTATAAAAACGCTTAGGCGATCATGTATCTTTCAATACATGATTGACGAGGCATATTTTTTCACGCAGTAGGTTGCCATTTCTTTCTGCGGTAGACCAGTTCCCATCCAAGGCTATAGAACCCGGTCTGTCCTGTTATTTACTCATAGCTGTAGGGGAGAAGAGAATTAATACCTTTCCTAAGAGTATTAACACTTAAATGAATATCACTTATGTGCTATGCGTGATACACGGTTAGGCGATCATGTATCTTTAGATACATGACTGACGAGGCAGATTTTTTTCACGCAGTAGGTTATTAACCAATAGCTAGGGGGAGAAGAAGAGGATTCATGCCTTTCCCAAGGTTATCAGCACGTAAGTGAATGCAATGGATTCGACTGGAATTCGAACTCGTCTGTCCAATTCGTCAATCCGAGTCGCTATCCATTACCCCGAATTATCATAAGACGAAAGTAAGGTCTAGAACAGTGTTTCTCAACTGGTTTCCCACAGAAGCCAAGGGTTCTGCTAGAATTCTCTAAGGGTTCCGTGAGAAACTGTGATAAAGACTTTTTATATAATTTTTCGTTAATTTTATATTCGCAATTTTACTATACACGCACGGATTATTATTGGAAATCCCGGCTAATTAAAATATATTATTATGATAATATATTATAATAAGGAAGGATTTTAAACAAAAAGGGAAAGAAAGAAAGAAAGAAAGAAAGAAAGAAAGAAAGAAAGAAAAAAGAAAGAAGGAAAGGGATTGAGCAGGGAAAGAGAAATAACAGAAACAAAGAAACAAAGGGAATTAGATAAAAAAAAGGAGTAAAAGAAAGAACGACTGAAAGAAAGGAAGAAACAAAGAAAGAACGAAAGAAAAAAAGAAAAAAGAAAGAGAAAATGGGGTAATGCAAAGAAAGAAAACGGAATTACGCAGGAAACGAGTAGTAAAAGAAAGAAAGAAAAAAAGAAGGAAAGAAAGAAAGAAAGAAAGAAAGAAAGAAAGAAAGAAAGAAAGCAGTACATTCAAAAAATGTTCACAGGGAAAGTTTAATAAGTGCAGTGTAAGTGCAAAGAAAGCAAGAAGAAGAAGAAATGCATGTTGTCATAGTCCAAAAATTGACATGAAAGAAAGAAAGAAAGAAAGAAAGAAAGAAAGAGATTTGGCAGTGAAAGAAAAAAACAGAAGGAAAGAAAGAAACAAAGGTAATTAGATAGAAAAAAGGTGTAAAAGAAAGAAAGAAAGAAAGAAAGAAAGAAAGAAAGAAAGAAAAAAAGAAAAAAAGAGAAAAGGTGTAATACAAAGAAAGAAATACGGAATTACGTGGGAAACGAGTAGTAAAAGAAAAGAAAGACAGAAAGAAAAAAAGAAAGATAGAAAGAAAGAAAGAGATTTGGCAAGGAAAGAAAAATAACAGAAAGAAACAAACAAACAAAAGGAATTAGATAGAAAAAAGGTGTAAAAGAAAGAAAGAAAGAAAGAAAGAACGAAAGAAAGAGAAAAGGGGTAATACAAGGAAAGAAAACGGAATTACGCAGGAAAAGAGTAATGAAACAAAGAAAGAAGGAAGGAAGGGA